GACGAAAAGCGATTGGAATAGGTCACTTGAGCAAAGCTAAGGTGACCTAAAAATGTAGTCCCCTTTGCCCAGGGATGCTCCAGCAAAGCTTAAGATAATATTCCTCCAATGGTACAGAGGAAGAAGGATTTTGAAAACCTCACTTTCCCCTATTGGACCCACCCCTCTACACCAAGTTTATAAAAAATTTAGTCCCCTTTCCCCAAGGATGCTCCAAGCTCCATGCTCCAATGGTACAGAAGAAGAAGGGTTTTAAATATTCAAACCTAATATTCCCCTATAGGGCCCCGTCCCTCTTCATCCAAAGCGGCCACAGCCTGTTTATCAATTTTTTAGTCCCTTTTACTCAAGGATGATCCAGGCCAAATTTAGACTTTAGACAAAATCCATAAAACTGTTCAGAACTAGTAGCAGTTTTAAGGAAAAGATGACAGACGGACAACATAGCTCACCATGATCCTTCAGACCAGGTGAGCTAAAAATCCATCCTCAATAATTGTCTTTTTCATTCCATTTGATCAAATAAGTCACAAAAAATGGGATGATAACTGAAAATATCGAAAAAGCCTCTTAAATTTTTTCACAGATGTGTTTTGTTGGCAAAACGGACAAAATGCTTTATAATGTTCTCAACAAGAGGCCCAATGGGCCTGCATCGCTCACCTGGTATTAATCTCACACTTGTAATCTTAAAAGTGGACTAAAATACAGCTACAGGCAGAATATCAGTGTTTGATTCATAAGAACCTATTAAAAGATGTAAACATATGATGCCTGTGACCTTGAATGTCAAACAAAGACATCAGGTTGAAAGTGGATCAAGGTCATTCATTTGAACAAACTTGGTAGTCCTTCAACCCAGCATGCTAAAGGCCTAATTTCAGTACCCTGGGCCTTTTGGTTATTGAGAAGTTGCTTGAAGATTTTAAGACATTTGACCCCTGTGACCTTGAAAATTGGTCAAGATCATTCATTTTAACAAATTGGTAGCCCTTCATCCGAAAATGCTACAGGCACAATATCAGTACCCTGGGTCTTTTGGTTATTGAGAAGAAGCTGTTTGAAGATTTTAAGACATTTGACCCCTTTGACCTTGAAAGTTGGTCAAGGTCATTCATTTGAACAAACTTGGCAGTCCTTCATCCCAGCATGCTACAGGTCCAATATCAGTACCCTGGACCTTTTGGTTACTGAGAAGTCGTTTGAAGATTTAACGACATTTGACCCCTGTGACCTTGAAAGTCAAAATCATTTATTTGAAAAAACTTGGTAGCCCTTGATCCCAGCATGCTACTGGCCAAATATCATCATCCTATGCCTTTTGGTTACAGAAAAGAAGTTGTTTAAAGTAACAAGAGGCCCATGGGCCTTAACGGTCACCTGATATATTTATACAGAGAGTTGATTTCGTTTTTAACATGAACAGAAATATTATTCAAAGTGACAAATACAATAAAACCACCTTATTCAATATCAAGCATACAGATTTCAGACTAAAAAGGATTTGAAACTAGCACCTCTGATTCTAAACAAGGGGGTAGGGCTGGCTCAAAATTTTCAAAGTATCAAACTGTCAACTCAAGGTTATAATTCCAATCAAGTTATTAACATGTAATATTCAAAGTATCATTTGCCATTATAAACCATAATAAATTTTGCCCCGCTTCAATGTGATTTCCTTATATAAACTATAGTAAAGTTTACCCCCTCCCCAGGGGGAAACGTGAGACCCCAGGGTCAAGAAATTCACAATTTCGGTAAAGCTCCTTAAGACCCTTCAATCTATGAAGAGAATTTGATTCTACTATATCACGGTCTTGAGAAGAAGATTTTTGAAATTTCAGTCAATTCAACCCTTTTTGGCCCCACCCATCAGCCCCTGGGGGTCAGTCAGGGCTCATAGGTGCATACTATCAAACTGCTACCTAATACTGATAATGCTAACCCAAATTGAATTACTTCCAATGGAAATTAAACAAATGTTGGTCCAAAATGTGATTTCCCTATATAAACTATAGTAAAGTTTACCCCCTCCCCAGGGGGAAACGTGAGACCCCAGGGTCAAGAAATTCACAATTT